CACTCTCTCCCTTGTTTATACACAGAAACATAAAGACACAGTCCAGTTGCGGCCTTCACATCAGTGGGAAAGATGAAACCTAAGCCTCATGTGTGATTGGCTGGCAATGTGATCTGAGAACCTTAGCCAATGGCAGCACTCAGATTAGGGTTGGAAGTCAATCCAATAGAGTTTTTACGTTCTCGGTACAAATCTCACTGATCCGGGAATAGAAAACACTGACTGCACTCTGCAGTGGTCTGTTTTGGTTTAGCCAGGAATTTTGCTGCATGTCTTTTGTCTTTCTGGATTATCAAACAATTGGTAACCTCTGCTGGTGAGTTAACCAACAATTTATTTGGAACATCAAATTTAAATTAGTATGACAGTTGCCAAATTAGTTTAAAATAATCTCACCACAAGGTTCATTAGTAGCTGTCCTTTCGATCCTTTCACACAACCTTGCTCAGCAGATGAGGTTATTTCCCGGTTGTCAGTCTCAGGATTGTATATGTTAAAATTTCCAATATAGATCAGGTATTATATTTGTGCACGTTATACTTGAAAATCACAGGGAATTAATCTACAGCTTCTATGTTTGTCTTGATGCTCGAGGTCTCAGATGGGCTAACTTGGCTAAATGTGTTGGTTGGCATTCCTTGCTAAATAATGTACCGATGCGGACACCTCTCAACCCTTTTCTCATGCACCTTCTCTCTCTGTCTTTGTCCACAGATTCAGCCAAGAAGGCTCAGATAACAGAGGTGAGAGGCTCCTTCACATTATACATCCGTCTGTGTCACCTGTCTCTGTTGCTTTCGTCTTCTCTTTCACATCTTTCATCTGCATTGGTTTGCTGCATGGTTCAATTCCATATGACCTCTGAAGGGTCTATATATACAGTATTTGGAGTACATAAATCACATATACATTTGTATATCCCTTTCCTTTCCTTGTGACAGATGCCGTCCCCATTTGGAGTTGGCCAAGCCCATGAGAAAAAGATTGGCCACAGGAGAGTAGATGCCTCTGGAGAGACGACATACAAGAAGGTAGACTTTGCCCTATGTCTTAAATACTGTTTGAAGCTTTGCTTTGCGTCATGATTTCACCAACTACGGTCCACCCACACCTTACTCTGGTGTTCTTTTCTCTGTTCTTCGCCTCCAGACCACCTCCTCTGCCTTGCAAGGGGCCATCCAGCTGGGTATTGGATATACTGTTGGCAACCTCAGCTCCAAGCCTGAGAGAGATGTGCTGATGCAGGACTTCTATGTGGTGGAAAGCATCTTCTTTCCCAGGTGTGTTTGTATGAGTGCATGTGTGCTTATGTGCATGTGTGGGTGGCAAGAAGCGAATACGATCTTTTATCTTGTTTTATTCTTCCCCATCTTGCTCGATACAGTGAAGGCAGTAACCTCACTCCGGCACACCACTTCCCAGACTTTAGGTTTAAAACCTACGCCCCTGTGGCCTTCCGCTACTTCCGAGAGCTATTTGGGATCCGACCAGATGACTACCTGGTGAGATATTTATTTTCTTGAATGACCGGTGATGCATTGAGAGTATTTAAATGTCTTATAAAGTGCTGAGAAAGTGAAATGTATTCTGTGACATACAGCATCAGTTGTGAAGCGAACATGTACAAATCACGCATAATAACTTGCACCTTATGGTTAGCTAACTGTTAGCACCATATTGTTTTGTTGTTTTTTACTGAACTGGTCAACACCTGCAAATTCATAATATTAATTATAATAGTTGTACTAGAGCGATACTGAGGCAGTTTTTTTTTCCAGCAACAGTAATTTCTATTACAGTCGCCTTGTCTAAGACCACAAAAAGATTTTACAATTCATATGCAAATGAATTATGTTTTTTTTATATTTGATAGCATTGTAATAGTTCACACTGTGTGATATGAGATAACATAAACTAAATATAGATTTGTGTGAAGTTCCCCCCCGAAAGCATTCAATTGATTATCAAAGAAAACATTCCCCTGGCTTCATCAAACATCTACTGCTCTGAGGATGAACGTTAAACACCCTCACAAATCAAAAAGTAGAACTGTGCACACGCGAACACACACAAAAAAAGTTGCACATGCCCGCACATATTTTGCATGTGAGGCTGCAAACACACACACATGGTGACATAGCGTTCTCAGCTGCGTGTTTAAGCTCATATTCAACCTGTGCCAGAGGGAGATTAGCAGGCTAAAGCTTTCTTTTTTAAACTCCAAGTAGTGGCAGCAGACAGTCAGAGAGAGTAGTTTGTGTTTGCGTCTGCATTTGTTTGTGTTGGTGGAGGGGGTGGAGGACTACCAGTATAATTGCATTGTGCTGACTTACTGGTAAATTTAATTACTTTGTTAGACAAATTGACCTCAAGCAATGGGCAGTTTTTCTTACTTTTCTACTTAAGTCCTTAGTTTTTAACCAACTTCATTACATCTGATTTTGTCATTTAAAAAGTCTCAATGGCTTTACACCAAGATATTCAGGGTACATTTAAGCCCACTTTTGCTATTGGAGTGTTTATGTTGATTCACCTCAGTTCAACATAATTCCTGCTAGTGCACAGAAGTGGGTGAAAGAAATATTTCCACTGTTGAGTTAGTCACTTCACTGTAGTTACTGCCTCTACATTAAGGTGCAAAAAATTATAATAATAATAGCTTTATTTGTATAGCACTTTTCAATACAGATAACAAAGTGCTTTACAGCAATCAATGTAAAACATAGACAAGTTTATTAAAATGTCATAATATACAATTTAAACTCCTCTATATATGATTCTTCACATCCACACCCAGAACGCCTTTTTGCACACAGTAGTGTATACACACTTGCACTTCAAAAGTCAAGTGTGTCAACAAAGCTTTGAAAGCTCGATTGGATCCAACAGTAATGGTGCTATGCAGCCCTGCAGTACCCATGAGATGTTAAATTTAGGATGAAAGTACAAACTCAGGTGAAAAAGCCTCTCACATAAAAAGACATTTAAAGACAGGACAGACAAGTAAGCTTAATAATAAAGTAAAACCTTTATGGCTGCTGCATGTTAAAACACTCTTTAGAGATTGTGGGTCATTGTGGGGATTGTGTTTAATCTTATCTTTGTTCTTCTGTGCCTCTGCTCTGTCTAGTATTCTCTATGTAATGAGCCACTGATTGAGTTGACAAATCCAGGAGCTAGTGGCTCCATATTCTACGTAACCCGCGATGACGAGTTCATCATCAAAACTGTTATGCATAAAGAGGCAGAGTTTCTACAGAAACTCCTTCCTGGATATTATATGGTAAGTCAAACCGAGACCCTCAATTCAATTGTTAGTCCAAATTGTTAGTGCATACTACATTTTCAATATATATGTTATTATAATATTAGTGTGTACAATTCATTATGCAGTATAGACAAATGTCTTTGCTTAATATGAAACATACTGAAACCTGTATGCTAATATTTAGTTTGACCAATTCAAATAGCAGAAAGATCTGCAGGTACAGCAAATATTTTTCTACTAAATTACCTTTCAGCCCAATAAATCAACGTAATAGTGTGTCTATTCAGAGATTTGGGTGTGTAGGCATGGGATGTTTGTGTACATGAGTACATGCTTAAGAGCAATGCAGCAGCTGAAACTTCTAGTCTTCTTTATCCTCTTTACCTTACCCCCTGGTGTTGGCCCCTGTCAGCAGTGACGCAAGCAGGTAGCTTTGTAATAGATATTAGCAGAGAGGTTGTAGCTAACCGAGACCTGGCCTAAGTACTCCTTAACAGGTTAATCATGCACACAGTAGAGACACACAAGAATGGGCTGAGGCCTGTGGATGGGTCACGCTTTCTGGCAGGTGCATGGTAATGGGGCTGAAACACATAGACTACATGCCTTATTACCAAATAATGTAGCATATTTCTTTAATCCTTCCTGTCTCTTTCTTTGTGTCTGCTGCGTGAACCCCCTCTCCAGAACTTGAACCAGAACCCCCGGACTTTGCTGCCAAAGTTTTTTGGCCTTTACTGCGTGCAGTGTGGGGGCAAGAACATCCGAGTTGTTGTGATGAACAACATTTTACCACGCTCTGTACGCATGCACCTCAAGTTTGATCTGAAGGGCTCCACATACAAGAGGCGAGCATCCAAGAAAGAAAGAGAGAAGTCAAAACCCACTTTTAAAGACCTGGACTTTTTGAATGACGTTCCTGACGGCCTCACTCTGGACCAGGACACATACAGCGCTCTGGTCAAAACTCTGCAGAGAGACTGCCTGGTGAGAAAGAGAGAAGGCAGGAGATGGATGGAACACATTTTTTGTAAAAGTAGATTAACACTGTGCATTTCATTTTATGTCAACAAAGTCAGCACAGCCAACCACATAAATTATTTGCTCAGACTCATACTGTAAATTAAGAGCAGATGAATTGGAGAAAGAATAGAGGAAGAGAAGGGAGAGAAAGAGGCTTCAAAGTGGCTTGTGTGTTTTTTATGCACGTGTTACAAAATGTTGTGATTTTCTCAGCTTGGAAAATTTTTTGAAATATCATGTATTTCATGTCAGGTTCTGGAAAGTTTTAAGATTATGGACTACAGTTTGCTGCTGGGGGTGCACAACAAGACCCAAGCGGAGCGGGACCGCCAGTCCCAGGGCTCGCCTGCAGGAGGCGGGGATGAAAAGAAGCGTGCAGCTCAGAGAGCCTTGTATTCAACTGCCATGGAGTCTATACAGGGAGGCTCCACATGTAGGGACACGCTGGACCATGATGACACGTAAGTCACTATTTTAAACTCTATGCCCTAATCATCACATTAAATTTACAAATGATGGTAATGTTCTCCTATCTGTCTGTAGTATGGGTGGTATTCCAGCTGTGGGTGCTAAAGGAGAGCGCCTCCTGCTGTTCATTGGAATTATTGATATCCTGCAGTCCTACAGGTAGGCAAGTTAAAGCTGCCATTTAATATCAGGAAATGAATACATGAAATTATATTTGTGTAACATTCACAAATCAGCAATACCCACTGCAATCAGTTTGTTCTGCCTCAACATTACATTTTTGAACTACGACTACCTAGGCCAGATTTTCTTCCTGTTCTTCCAGCATAAACAGAGCTTTCAGAGTGTCTCACAATGTCAGATGTCATGCTTCCAATGTTTTATGTTTTTATATTCTCCAAAATCCTCCTTACAACACTAAGCTTCTGGATTTATGAGGATTTATGGGAAATATGGTTTTAATTTAAAAAGACAAACAAACCACTAGTGTTTCTCTGATTGTCTGCCAGTTTTCATGGTAATACATCCAAAGTGTCAAAGTTAATTTAATAATGATGACATATTGGTGCTCTATATATTACCTTAAACCTCTACTGCCTTCTCAGTCTGAGGTACTGCGTAAGGTCTTTCACTGGACTCCTTGGGTTTTAAAGTCAGGAAATGATTAGGTTTAGGCTTACAGTAATCCAGGCATTATGTGTCTGCAAGCAATATTAAAAGATGGTGATCACGAGGAAAAAGCAATTCCAGACATCTCACACTGTTTTTACATAAATACAAATGGAGGATGCTCATAACAAACGTTGTCAGGACAAGCGTGGACATAAGAAATGTGTGTGGTGCCTAGCATAAAATCCAGATCTTAAAATGCACATCAGCATTGCATGTGGGACTGTAGCCACCTATTTAGGCCTGAGTTGCCAGGTAACCACAGTAAGTCAATGAATGAGTTTAACTAAATAATTTAATCGTCTTGTCTGACAGAATGATCAAGAAACTTGAGCACTCTTGGAAGTCTCTCATCCATGACGGGGTGAGTAGCTTTCACAGAACAGTTATGTAACAATCTGTATCCAAGCAAAACATAAACCATATAACATTTTTTGCCTTTATTTTTTTGCTATGTCTGTCTTTTATGTATTTAGCACCTTGATTGTGTATGAAAAGTGCAACATCGCTCACATTGCCTTGTCTCTTTTTTTCATTGCTACCTCCGCCCCTCCACAGGACACAGTGTCAGTTCACAGACCTGGTTTCTATGCTGAGAGATTCTACAAATTCTGTAGCACCATTGTCTTCAGGAAGAGCTGCTGTGAGTTTACAACTGTGCATGAGCCATATACTCCCATAGTGTGTTATATTTGATGGCAACAATAAGGAATTCTTTTGTTTTCCTACTTTTTTCTTTTTGGAGTAAATAAACTATGCTGTGCTTTCACAGCACTGCGATCGTCTCCATCTAAGAGAGGACGAGGGGCTCTTTCCATGTCCAAGTCCAGTGCTGGAACAGGTTCAGCTGGGCAGCGTCCCTCACTGACTGAAGACAAGCAGGAAAACCAGGACAACTTGGAGAACCTACAAGGAGCTCCCAGCTTCCCCATGCTGGAGGACAATGGTAGTTTATCTCTATTAGTCCACATTGATATACAGTCATGATGTGTGCACATAGAGTTCATTAAAGGTGAAATGAAGTGAAAATGGGATGCTTAATACCACACACCTAATAGGATTGCGTGACCATGTGACAGTAGCCTTTAGTGTTAATGAATTAGCTTTAAATGTCTGCAGCCGAGAGCTCCATTTTCTCTTTAAATGAAATGAATTGAGCACTTCTATTCTTGAGAATAGAAGCTCTGCAGCAGAGTAGTAGCAATACCAGCAGAAACTTTAACAAATCAAGACTAGATATTCATAGATAAATACTTTAGGAAAGCATAGTGTTTTATTTACTGTCCACCCCAACACTCATAAATGGGGTAAGAAATGAAGAGAATGTGAACGTATGAAGAAGCAATACAAACCTTGTAAATGTCAAACAACTGAATGTGAAAGTCCTGATCGCATGTACAGCTTTGAGTGCAGTACTCGTCTAACTGGCTGAGGTACAGTGTTGTACAATTAAATGTCAGTTTGCCTGAATGAAAGGTTTGAAGGACTCACAAACACACTTTGGTTATGCCTGCTCTAGGTGAAACAATGAAATTCTTCTTATTGTTTTAGTAGTGCATTGTCATCTCTTGCATACATTTTGTGATCTCTTTTTTTATATTATATTATATTCTTGGTTACTTATACGTATTAGGGAGAGAGCCACCCTGCACCCCCCCTTCCTTTGAAGATGCTACCACAGCTTCTATCGCTACCACGCTGTCCTCTAACAACTCCTTACCCACCACTCCCTTCGATACACCAGAGCACCCACGCTACAGGAGACAAATGCATTCCCCAAGTTTGGCCAGGTAAGAATAATTGCTTGAATGTATCTATAATGACAGTATTCTGCCAAAAGAATGAATTGTGTGCGCTGTACTTCCCTACTGATATCACACATGTATCGTCCCATGTATTTTCAGGTTACAGAAAGTTGAGGTTCATGGGGAAAAGCAGGACACCATAACAGTGGAGGTGGAGCTCAGGTACATAAACATACAGCAATAGTGAAGTATGATAATGTCCATAACTGCCTGTGCAACAGTGTTTAACAGTGTTCTTTGTCTTGCTTCATACAGTAAAATCCCAAAGAGCACGGAGCTCACAGAGTTGACAGAAATGACCTTCCCCAGCCATCTGTCTCCTGATCACCAGCCCCGTGTCATCGCTTCATCCACCCCTCTCTCTGTTAGTCCATCCTCTGCATATTCCTCCTCCACTCTTCCTCCGTCTTTTGTGTCTTCCTCCTCCGCTGCACAATCAGCGGGCCACTCGTCCTCCACACTTGCTTCGTCCATCCGTCCGTCCACGAAACCGCTCACCTCTCCCGCAGCTGCTCAGTCTTCCACTCTTTCTTCTCCGGCCTCTCGTTCAGCCGCGCAACCCACACTTCTCACTTCAGCTCCAAACACCTCCGCCCTCTCTCCTGTCTCTGCTTTCACTCCCATCTGCCCTGCATCTCCTCACTCCTCCACAGAGAGCTCCTCTCACCGTCTGCCCTCGACCCCTCCCTCCTCCCACCCTCCAAGCCCCCAGGTGCCTCAGCCACGTACATCGTGCAATCAGCTTTCTGTGTCCAGCAGCCACAACTCATTGGAAGGGGAGGTGCCAGTGTCTGACATCTACTTTGTAAGTCCCAATTATGATTATTAACCGTTTCAACTAAGGATCTAATGCATCAGTTCAAACCCTGAAGGAAGTTCTCTTTATTTTTGTTTTGTTGTCAGCCCTTTCCCAGAGAGTAAAGAGCATTTTTCTTCTTCTGTTTTTCTTTGATTTACTGGGTCTCTTGCAGTGGCCCAGTCAGGACAGCGTGGTAGAGTTATGATGGTGAGGGGGGGAGGGCGTGTGTGTGTTGCACGTACTATGGGGTTGCTCTCTCTGTCCAAAATGCTTTTTTCCAAAGCACGAGGCTGCCACCAGTCATAGTTCATGCTTTTGAATGCATCAGCAACACTGGGGTTGTCTCTCCTGCACAGCATGATGTAGTTATATTTGTCAATCTACAGTCATGTGCGCTGTCAAGATCATGCACAGCTCTCCATAATTCTCTTTCATTGTGTGAATCTTTTGTTATAGCATTCTTTCTCCATTTTCCACTTTCTTTCCGTTCTCTCATTTATTATAACTTCATTTTGTCCTCTGTTGCATAATAATTAATTCAATTCACTTTATTTTCCTGTGTGCACATTACATGCATTTGTGTGTTGATCTGCGTGTGTGTGTCCATCCATCAGTATGCAGATGGCAGATATTGGGTGTACTCTCCGGTTCTTGGCCGCCGTAAGCTAAACTCTAGCTCAAGTTACAATGTAAGTAAGTAGTTAGAGTAATTTGTAATGTTAAGAGGTGTTCCCACGCATTGCTGCTAACTGTTCCATTGGGACTTTCACAAGCACAGCTGCTTATGGATCCTCAGAAGTACTTAAAATAAAGCTACAGTGCATTTCACATGACTTATTTAGCGTTAACGTCTGCAAAAAAACCAACACCTTTGCATTATAATAACTGCAGTTTCTGAAGGGCCGTCATGTGCATTTAAATGGAGCATGCATCTTCATGTAACATGTTACCAGGAAATGGTAATTTAAATGTTTAAGCCTCTTGAACCTGCAGTTAGTTAACTGTAGCTTGTATTGCACTTTTATAGATCAAGCTTAAGCGTCTGCCGTGTCGCACTCAGACAGAGGAGCTGACAAGCTGAGTAGTGTTGTCAGCAATTGGCTAGAATGAAATTTCTCTTTCTGACATTGGAAATCACCTGTTTATTAAAGCTGCATCTAGAACATCTTAAAGCCTCTGAAAAGTTGATTGGATTTCAAATATAAATTTTCTTTCTATAACCTTAGATATCTATGACTAAATAAGCAACAATGATGTTAAAGTTAATTATTTATTAAGAGTTTCACAGTCAGAAACTCAACTAATCTGCTTCATCGGACATGTGCGGACATGGTTCAATCAGATGGGATTGACAGTGCTGGCAACATAAGCAAACAACCCCACGGCAGTCAACAGATTTTGATTGAAATGCTTTTAAACTCTAATTAGTGCACAGAAGAATGTGAGATCGCCTATGTCCAATTTAGTCCTGCCCACCTCAAAATACTGAAAAAAGGCAGAACAAAAATATCAATACAGAAATCTGTGAAATTGTGTGTTTATTGAGGATCTGTCATAATAAGGTGTTGATTGAGAAAATATGATTTCAGGTGAAATTACACCAACCCAAGCCAGGATTTGGCCGTGAGCACACTGAGCAGTTGAAAATTTCATCTGAAAGCAGTTTGGAGCTCCCAACATGCAAAATTGTACCGGGCAGCTTTAAACTATTCAGTGTTCTGAGGAATGTCTTAATAAATGTATCTTTCTGCAGCTCCTCTCTCATCTTTCTTCTCTTGTCTCCTTTCTCCTGTTGCTGCCGTCTGCTGGCTGTGTTCGATAACAGCAGACTCAGGAGGATCGGGGCTGGGTGTACTCTCCTCTGCACTACGGCTCAGAATCCAGAAGGGGCTCAGATGGGGAGAGTGAGACAGTAAGTGTACAGTTCATTCATTATTCATCAGTACTTCACAAACCAGAGATGACTGAATAAACAGTTTTGTTTGCGGTTTTCCTACTTTGTCTGTCTCTCTGCTCTTTCAGTAACAGATGGGTGGAGCCAGAGGCCAAATACAGAAGCTGTGAGGTTTTGATAAAACAGCCACCAGGACACTGCTTGCCCAAGCTGCATGTGAAAGCTTGCTTCGCCAGCAGAAACTATTGGAATGAACTCATAGAAGCATTCAAGTATACAACAGCACAACCATGCATATACTCACATACATTTAAATGAACATACAGATATACAACTATCAAAATATTATGCAACGAAAATGAAGAAGCATCAATTCCTGAACAATCTGACTGTCATCAAGCAGAGAAATGAACTTAAATCATATGGTACAATCAGCTGAGTGGCACTGTGAATGATTTTGGTGGCTGTTAAGTCAGGTATAGCAGTCCTGCTGCCTGCTGTTTTTAGTTTTTTAGTGTTCACGAGTCACGCAGCACTGTGTCAGCTCTGGCTATGCAATATGGGCATACATGTTATTGATTTCTCTGTTTGACTAATGCATAACTACTTCAGAGAGAGTTTATGCATTTATTTTTCACTAGGAGAATGTTAAAGCTGTATATGATTTTATTTTTAGCACTTTATCAATGTACATGTGGCTGAGGTCATTTGAAATCATATATTTTGTTCTTATGTGTCATCAGTTGCAAAGTTTCAAAACACTCACATAAACACACAGTTCAATATTTTTTTTTGTGCTGAGTATGCACAGTGTTCAGTTTTAACAGTGGTGTGGTCCACTTTAGAAACGTTGATCTGACAATGAATGGTTGTGTTCAAAATGCCTTATTGACAAACTCATTTTCATAACAGTTTTTGATATTTCGGTCACATGTAGGCCTAATCGTTAAAAAAATATATATATAAAATATAAATATACAGAACATTTTATTGTGTGAGTAAATACCAAATCCAACACATCAAGACAAAACAAAAGGAAAAAAAAATCTAATGATCTTTTGTAAATTGTAGATAAACCGTGTGTGTAAAGCACATGCATGTAAGTCTGTACTCGCCCTCATGTCTCAGTGTGTGCATGTGTTTGCATGCAGATTGATGTGTGATTGGGAGAAATGTAGTTGTGAGACTCTTCTGTTCTGCCTATTTGTCAAAAGGTGTAACTTCTGTTTATTGTTATAAGCCATGAACGTCTGAACCAGCTATAAGCATGTTGGCTGTGTGAGAAAAGTGACCCCCAGTCTTTAAAGAAACTGGACTAACCATAAATGACCAAATTAAACAAACTGAGCTGAACTGAAATCTATTTTCTGAACAGTTTAGTCAGAAAATAAATCTGCTGTTGCCACCTTCCTTCCTCCATACGTGGTGATGCTTGTTGCAATATGATTGACCATTATGAGACTTCCTGACTGTGTCGATAAGCACTGCTATAACAGATTACTGTATTATTTGAATCAGCTGAAGCTAACCTGCCTGTTTGTAGGAATCAGTGTCTGTAGCTTATCACTGAGTAAAAGAAAATAAAGATTATATTGTGTAAAAAAATATATTTTGGTGGATTTTTAATATAATTTTCTAAAATAACCAGATTCACAAACCAGCTAACAAGAATATTATTTTAGTTGTAAAATGTTATTTGCATTATTAGCCCACTAGATGGCACCACGTCTTAGTAAGAATAGTTATTGAGTGAAATCCCAACTGTGTTTTGGGCTACTCGAAAATTGCACTGTGAAATTAAATTGCACAAAGACATCTCCCCACACATCACACATTTTACCTCACAAATAATGATATGAAATCTTAATTGCTTTAGCAGACATTTTATTTATCTGCACAGACTTTGCTGTTAAAAAAAACTCTGGAATGAAACAGACAAGGATCAATATGGCTTCAACTAAAACAGCCCATAGGGATCTCAGCTGGCTCTCTGCAGTAATATGCTCTCTATATAAACCCACACATACACTCACACACAGATAAAGGAAGTAGGAAGATTTGTACAGTAAAGTAGAATCAGCCAGGTTATTCCTTTATCAGTCCTGCGGTGCGACTGATTGACTGAAGTAAAGAACTGGCTAGGAAGGATATGGCTAATGACATTATAAAGTTTTTCTTATCGTCAACAAATCCCACAGCTTGATTTACATTTGCGTATTCCTCTGTGCCAGAGACCTCCATTGTTATCCAAAAATTAATTAATTAATCAAATTCAAAAAGGGAGCCACACTGTACCCGTTGACGTGTTCCTACCAGGAACATGGACATTGTTTGGAGTTCACTACAAAAAAAGGCGGTTCACAAACTTTTTCAGTCATGTCCCCGATCAGACGCCAAAAAAAGTACCACTACACGTAAACGGATTTAATCTATATCAACCAATAACAATATTGGGGGAGCAACAAATAAAAAACTACCCCAGTTGAATTTGATTTATATAAATGAAATGATTCAGGTCAACACAATAGCCTCACTCAAACTCTCTCTTCAACTTATTCCCACTCCATATTTTTCCCTGGTCATCCACGCTCCCCCTAGGGGGCGTTGTTACTCTACGCCCCCTCCAGGTATTTCTGCCCCACAGTTTGAGAACCACTGCACTAAAGAACCAAATGTGTATTAATCTGCAGCTGAAAATAGTCCCTAACAAATGCACTATCAACTCCCGTTGGAGTAAGATTTGCTAAAATGCCAGTGCCCAGTTGTTTCAGGAAATTGTTATGTCTTTTTTTTTTAAACCAAAAGCATATATGGACTTACACATGGCTGGTTTATGAAATATGAAACATCATCATCCTTATTCATTAAGTGCTGATGGGAAATCAGGGTGTCATGGTGGCACCACACCTGCATGGTCCTTTCCGGGTATGAGTTTGAATGTTCTCCCAGTGTCCACTTGCGGCTGCTCTGGTTTACTGCTGCAGACCGATCTCATGCATGTCAGATGGCTTGAAAAGTATAATAGATATGAATGTCTTTTTCATGTCAGACTACTCCTGCTCCTCCTCCTGCTTTCTGCCAAGTGCATGCTGGGAAAGGCATCAGACACCTGTGACTTTGAATAAGAACAGTATCATCATCATTACCATATAAAAGCACACAAAAAGACATACATAAACACAAAACATAAAATAAGGAAGCAGTAAATACAAATGACCATAAAGACAGAGTTCCAAAGTTTTCATTTAAAAAAAGATTTCATGAACTTAAAGAAACATTATGGAGCTGCGGCATCTGTACTTGGGGTGAAATGGGTCGTCGCAAAGCTGCACTTTCATCTGCAGGAAACATAAACAAATGCCTTTGTTGTTTCAAAGGAAAGAGGGGCGAAAGCCACAACAAACAGGACGGGTGTGCAGTGTGTGTGTGCGTGTGTGTGAGCGCACGTGAAAAGACGACAGAGGGAAGAGGAGAGAGAGAGAGGGCAGATAGAGATCAAAGCAGGGGGTATGTTTTGAATCTCCGTGTGGGAGGTGAAGCCTCACCTACCCACAATGCCTTGCCTCACTCCTTACAAGCCACTCAGGTTTTTAGGAGCATCACTTCTCTTAGCAGCGAACATATTATGATTCTACCTCCTCATGTGTAATCTCCAGATACTCTCAGAAAGTCTTGAAACAGTGTGATACATAAACTGCGTCTCCCACACGTGTGTTCTTCAAGCATCATGGCGTTGCAGTGTAGAAAACATAAAGTCTATAAAATATCAACAGAGACTTTATTGCGCTTCACTGTAGAAGATTGCTACTGAGTTGGATTAGAGCCCACCCCCCATTTCCCCATCTCGTGGAGGGATGAAGTGTTTCTTTTCAACTCAGCGTGAGAAGCTGCAAACAGATGTCCGTCTGTCCACACAGAGGGAATGTGGTGCCCTCTCACACAGATGAAAAGCCATGAAAGTCTCTGTGTTGCGTTGTCAGTGTCTTAAGGCAGTGTTTATCTCTGGCAGGCTGAAGAAAACAAAGCCATCGATTTCTAATCCTAATCCCCTTCTACTGCTTCTCTCCTATTGATCATCTATCCATCCTTAATGAGGTGGAGGGATAGAGGGATGGAGGGCTGGTGAAGGGCAAAACTTTACCCTGCTGGATTGCTGCCGTCTTTTTCCCTTACAACATCTCTTTTCAATCGGTCTCTCTCGCTCGTGGGGCTTTCATTAACTGGACGTTCTTTATGGCTATATGGAATATAAATGCAGCATGGTGCTTTTGTAGAGGTTTATCAAACCTGGAGGCTCGCAGAGCTGTGGTGGTTCGCCTAAACACTGAAATTGGATGACATGGATGAATGCATTTGACAAGCAGAAGCACATGCAGACACAGTGAGAATGAATTTGAGTTGCAGTCCAAACACCAGTGCTGGTATTTCTGCCTGTGTAGTACACTGTCTCTGAGTCAGTAATGTTCTCTGACCCGTTTCCCCTCTGCTCTGCTTATACAGGATCTAAGAATCTGTCCCTCATCCACCTGATCTAAACTTATATTATTGAAGCTTTGGAGTTCCCTCTTGTTGGTACATATTTATGTCTGCTCTCGCTCATCTATGCCTCTGTCTAATTCAATGTTAGTTAGTTTGAGGCTCGTGTGAACAAGACTCAACCTGCCGTGCAGTGAACCTTAAGTGCAACAGTGCTGTCCCTCGGGTTGTGACACAGGGACACATACTTGGCAGCAAGGTTTGCCGTATGTCCTTCTCCTAGGATTAGTCTTAATTTATTGTTATCTTCAAGTTCTTTAAAATCTGGTATTAATAGATGGCATTTCTCAAAATATTATGCTTCTATATGTATCACATTTCAGAGAAAATATTGAGAAAATGTGTCTCTGTCTCCACCTCACCTGTCATACAGTGCTTACAGACTCTCTCTCTCTCTATGCAGGTTAGGCAGATACTAGACAACTGTGGTTTGTCTTGGCTCCAAAAAGTATGATGTCATCAGTTGGTTGGAACTGACCACTGAGCGCAGGGTGAAAAAGCCAAAAGTTACATGTAATAGGAGCCTCCCTGAAGACTGTTTGACCTTTGCACTTCATTCCTGCTGAGAGCCATTGTTTTGTTCTCATTATATTGTATATATTCTTTGTACTCCATAGCAAGAACTTTTTCAGCAATTAATTGGCAGTTTGGGATTCACTGTCTTCAAGGACACATTTACTTTTTACCTAAATCTTAAGGGCAAGTTTTTAGTGCAAATATCTCATTTGAATGGCCATATTCTTAAATTAGGCTTCTATACGGCTAAGGAGGACCAGATTCTCATGTGAGTCATTAACTGGAGTAACCTGTCAAGTAATACAACAACCTTATTATTGTCAAGTTTCTCTCTGACTCATTTTGGTTATGACAGAAAAGAAAAGATTCCTGTGTACTCCCAAATTTTCAAATGCTTGACCCTCTGTCCTTCTGATGCCTAAGACCACAACAAAATTTGAAAGGAAGGGCAAGCTGTAATACCATGTAACATGACCATCGTAAGCAATGTTATTCTGTGGACCCACTCATCTCCTAAACCTGGACAGACACAATGTCAAATACTGAACTAGAATGTGAGGAAGAGAGAAAAGGTCTGGAACACCTGCTGTTGATGTTAGAGATCCTGAGACGTTATTTGTGTTGTTTGCGCACAGACTTGTAGGATTAATGTTAATCACAGTTGTATTTCCTTTGGGATCATGGGTAAACAATGAATCTGATGTGGGAGGTCCACTAACCACGCCCCACATTCCTTAAGAGCCACCTCAGACAGCAACTCACGGACATCCTGGACAACCCCCGAAGAGCTTTCAAAACGCAACCAAGTCTTGTTTTTACAAAGAAAGCATTGCTTTGCTTGCAGAACGCTGGAAGAAAACTGGATGATTTTGGATATATAATGCATGTCACTGCAAAAATGGCACTCTGGGGATGTTTCCCTAAGTGTGTGATAATGGCTGCAGCAGAAGTCATTAATAGCAGGCTAATGTGTGTCAGATGGTACCTGTCCAGCAGCAGCAGCAGGGGAGAGAGATCCAGGACACGAGTGACTGGCCAGCATAATGAGAGGGACATGGCCTGCCAACTTGGGCAGCTGCTTCTCTAGTGGGACTGTGTGTGTGTGTGTGTGTGTGTGTGTGTGTGTGCATGTGTGCATATCTCTCTTCTCATTTTCCTGTGCTCTTTTCTCTTCTCATCAGCAGCATCTAGAAGCACACACACACTTACACACATACAGATAACCTCATCTGGGTTACCGTGGGAATGCCTGTGGCATTATGTCAGTCATTGAGGTGATGCCTTTAATCCTGAAACAAATCTAGACTTTGTGCTGTGTGTCTCTGGCTGTGTGCGAGTGAGCGTGCCCGTGTATAAATCCCCAATCTCACACCCATTAGATTACGGCTGGCCGCGCAGCAAAGACACCCCACTGCCACTCCCACATGGAAGAGAAGGCAGGATTAGCCAGCTCCATACCCGCCCTAATCTGGGGACAAAAACCCACAATTGCCTCCCACTGAGATGCAGAGACAGAAAGATTCAATTTGATCTGCCCTC